TACTTTCTGTTTTTCTCTTGGGAGACTGTGCTTGCAGATTCAGAGCATGACCAGCAAGGGGACCATCAGAAAAGGACAGCTGCACAGTGGGATGGCCTCCTCGCTGGGCCTCAAGTGAACTTCCGACCCAGCTGACATTCACCCTCTGCCAGCACCCGTGGGAGGCAGGAGCACAGGACCTTTGTGAGCCGGTGCCAGGTAATTTTCCATCCCCAGTGGTTCCCTGGCCAGCACCATCTACACTTCTGCTCAGAGCTCCAAGGTCAGTTGACCTCATGCAATGAGGTTGACCTTACAACAGAGCCACCAAGTAGAGGTAGCAAGACTTCACAGTGATAACCATTACTACCATCATCATCAATGTCATCTAGTATCAATGTTCTCATCACAATCTTCATCACCATCACCATCATCACCTTAAGAGCAACTAACACATACAAAGCAGTTTACATTCCAGACACTGTATCATCTCCTTTAATCTTTAATGACAATGTTATGAGATGGCAATATCTATTATTCCCACTGAGGTAGAGTGAGAACAAGAAGTCATCAAAATCATATACTTATTAAGAAGTGGGGATAGGAGTTCATAGGCAGGGAATGGAACTCTTAATCACCATGCTGAATGAGGACAGATTTCCATGTTATTTCACTTGCAGGACTATTTATGAAAGAGGGAACCTTTGATGATTCCAGCAGGCATTCCATGTAATATTTCTAATGGGCTTTCAGAGTCCCCAATTCATTACCATCCAACCTTTCCAATTTCTGCCAATACCTGTTCTACAGACAGAAAGGAAAATACAGTATGCCTCTTTTAAATATTTCTCTTCAGAAGCAAAAATAATATTTTGCGATCCCAACATCTGATGCTAATAATCCTTCCCTTCTTTGACAGCAGGTTTGACTTAATGAATTCTTGATGTCACTTCCTAAAATACATTCCTGGCTTTGACATCCTTCCAACAATGAGTGGGCAAAACTGGATGCCTAAGAGCACAAGAGACTCTAGAGGACAATTCTCCCCTTGAGATCAGCAACCCTTTCTTAAGGGCCACTTCTGCTAGGTATAAAAATGACTAGTATTCATGGAGATTCTTAGGCACCATATGATATGTTCTTTGTTAATCCAATTAACTTTTACAGAGACCATTTTATTTTCATGTTAAAGAAAGTGAGGCCAGGGAAGAAAAAAAAATTCTCTCAGGACCTATAGTTACAGGTGGCAAGCTAAATTCACAAATTGATCTGCAGTCATAAAGAACTTACTGCTAACTACAGAGCATATAATCTTCCAGGCCGCAGCTCTGTGAAACTCAAAGATTATTCTTACTAGAGTAAGGGCCATCTGCTATGAATAATGGTTCTCATTTTCTACAAAGAACTGGGGACCCATATCTACACTGAATGGCTGCTAAGACAAAGAAGATTCACAGGAGGGTCAACCTTCTTCCCCTAAAATCCGACCATTCAGGTGGGCTTTAACAATTGTGTTCCTCTGCCTAAAAGCTCAGACAAGGTTATTTAGAACCTTGCAGGCCAATCAAGAGGCTGTCTTCCCCAACATCCGCAAACTGTTCCTAGGGTCAACTTGAATCACTCCAGTTTTGACTCTAATAGTCCTTAGGTCTAATTTACTTATGATAGTTTGGCTGTGATGAAACCTCTTAAGAGAACTGTCTAAGCATTTCCTTTCTTCCTGGAAGCTGAGATGGCAATGAGCCCTAATGAGGGTGACTGCACGTTGCCACGCTCCCTTCTCTACACACAGATATCACGTTCTAGAATTCTTATTTCTCTGCATTCCAAGCAAATGCACATATTTCCCCTCTTTTAAATTTGTTTTACTAAACAAATTAATCTCGTACCAGATTATATTATGAAGAACCATAAATCATCTCTAAGATAAGCATCTGTCAAGTTGGATTAGTAACATCCAATGTACTGTGAATTAATTTGCTAAGCCTTATAATGCTGTCCCAGGCGTTTAACTTTAGTAATAACAAATGTAATTTGGAATAAATGGGAACTTGTTTTCTCATCCATGTCTATATAGTAAGTGACGTATGCAGAGGAGATGACAGTAAATGACTGTAGCACGAAATTCCATTACGATGATGGTTTGGGAGTTCAGTGAGGGAGAAACCAAGGCTGAGTAAAGCTGTGCAAGGGTGTCTGATGCAAAGATGATGAATCATGGGTGGCGTGTATACGTAGGTTACGGGAGGAGGTTACATGGAGGTAACATGCCACAGCCCCCACATCCTCTCCTAGGATTCTCCCCAGGGTACAGCTTCCATCCTTGGGCTCTTGGCCTTGGAAGGAACTAAGTCTGCTTTCATGGACATGCTGTTCTCCTGAGAAAATAAACTCAAAATGAAAATGGCAGGTACTTTTTCCCACGTGGGGAAAGAAAGTCACTTGTGCAATGATAAAAGCTGCTCACACCATGCATTATAGAATGAATTGAGCTCTTTAAGGAGAGTGTGTTGGGATCCTACCACTTAACCTGTGGATGTGCTCATATCACTAGAGGATGGGACCCAAAGTGAATTACTACTGAGTTATAAAGAGCAGTGTAGACATGGAGACTGACACGTACAAACAGGGAGAAGAGAGATGCTATTTGATGAAGCCAGAGATAGATGAGACTACAAGCTCCAGGTCTCCAAAAACCATCAGCTACTAGAAGCTGAAAAAGGGAGATCTGAGGGGACATAGTCTGTCTGCAGTGAGTTGTCTGCTAACCAAAATGCTGGGTCGGGGAGTTTGAATCCACCACGTGCTTCTCTGGAAAGAAAAAAAAGGATAATCTTCTCTCATTGCCATTTACAACCTCAGAAACCTGATGGAAGAGCACCACGAGCTGAAACGAATTCTATGGCAGTCAGTGGGTGAGACACTGAAAAGGAGCCCTAGTGGTACAATGATTAAGTGCTTGGCTACTGTGTAAAAGGTGGTCAATTGGAACCCATTCCCTAGGGAGGGAAAAAAACAGCAGTTTACCCATGTGAAGATTACAGCCTAGAGATCCCCATGGGGCCATTCTTCACTGTCACACAGGATCACTGTGAATTAAAATCGGCTCAACAGCATTTAATAACCACCAAAGCTGAAACAGGCATGAAAAGACCGCCCCCCCCCCAAAGCTGACGTCCTAAATCTTGACTCCGAACCTCCTGAGCTGTGAGACAACAGATTTCTGTTCTTTAAAGCCACCCACTTGCTGTATTTATATTGCAGCAGTCTCTGAGACTGAGACACCATGGTAACTGTCCAACCATTGACCATGGCCTTCTGCCCAAGAGTAAGAAGACTCTACAACCAGGACTCAGCAACTAAGGACGAGGTGGAGAGTTTGTACTATAAATATGACAGAATTGGTGAGCAGTGATATTCTTTCTCTTGATCGGGAAGATAATGGTGGGACCTATAGAGCTTCAACCTTCAAGTGTGCAGAGGAGCAGGGATGGCTCCAAAGGAGCCTCAAGGGGTCCCTACTCCTTCATGCTGAGGTTCTGAAGCTTGCATCTTGGTTCACCTAAGTTAGCTAATCGGCCATTTGTCTAGAATGGACATGCAAAGTCATCTTAGTCATGCTGGTGTGTGAGGCCACTGCTCTGTACTCCCAGCCTATTATGGACCCATGATGATGGATACCATTTCAATAAAATATTTTGGCCTGACAAATTTCAAGGGCTGCTTCAGAAGCAACTGGAGAACGAGGCCCAGGAGAAGAAAAGAGAATGTGTGTGGAAGTAGGCATTTGAAGCTCAGGGACCATAATGGCTTCATACGTCTAGAATAACAGTGGCAGAGAGACAGGAACTATTTGTTCTGCTCTGTGTCCTTCAAATGCTCCCCTAAACCCATCTCCATGAATAAGCCACTCCACTGCCTGAGTCACTGTCACAAAGCACCAGATAAATCCTCCCACTACTCTTTTACTTGACCTCTCCTCTCCTGCTCTTGACCTGTCACAGAGTGAACTGGGTCTCACTTAAAAAAAAAAAAAAAGGTACATTTACATTCTAACCCTGCACTTGTGACCATGACTCTGTCTTTAAGGTTATTCTAAGTTAAGAAAAAAATTCATGACAGAGTAGGCTAACTCCTAAGTCAATCTGAGTGGTGTCTTTATACAACAGGACACAGAGACACAGACACATAGAGGAAAGACGATCATGTGAAGATGAACCTACAAGCCAAGGAATGCTTGTGGTCACCGCAAGACGAGGAGGGGGAAAGAAATCTTCTCCCAGACATTTGTGAGAGAACATGGCCCTGCAAACATTCGGAGTCACAGGTGGCTCCTCTTTCCCTGTGGGTCCCCAGGCAACCCACTTCTGTTCTTAGAAGCCACCTACTAAACCAGTACATGGTTCAAGGCCAAACGAGTAGGCACCCACCACCTACGAGGTCTACACCCTGGAAGGTTCCAGAAGACTCCATATGACTTTTTCAGCTTTCTCATGAGATGTGCCCATGCCCTGTCACCAAAAGAAGCTCTACAGTTCTACAAAGCATGACTTTACATTCATCAGGGTTCAGTCCATCCCTCATAAAGCATCTTGGCACTGGGAAAGGGACACCTGGGAAGGGTGCCATCCCTACAGCAGTGCCCATCTCTCAGAGATCACCAGGCACAAAATTCATTAGGAAGGCGTGGACCCCATTCCTGAGGCATTAGAGGTTCTGAGGAAGGGAAGGAAGCACCCTATCCTCACAGCTACCAGCCAGAGGTTGCAGCTCCTCTGCAGATAATAAGGCAAAGCTCAGAGCATATAGTGTGTGTAATTTCACAGACACGTTGCATCTCTATCTTGTCCAAAGTTCCCTGTTCTCAGCTCCTGGCTCTCCACCTTTTCTGTCGACTCTGGCACTGGAAAATGCAGTCACACACAACAGCAACAATCTGGACACATCTCAGCATCCACTCTCCCCCACCCATGCAGGTCCACACCCCCAACCAAGCCCCAGACAGACAGAGGCAGCCTTACCTGAGGTCTCCCCCAGAATCCTCGGGGGCTCGGTGTTTCCCCCGTTGTTGCTGGGACTGGTGGAAGGCGCCGTTGTGCTGATCCCCACGGGGACCCTGTTCCTGGGGTCCAGGGACTCCGTGAGCCCCTTAGTCTGCAGGGTCAAGGGGGTGGCCGTGGTGGACGTCGTGGTGGTGGTGGTGGTCACCGTCGTCTTCCGGGTTTGTAAGATGGAGACCGTGGTGGGGCCAAACATCCCCGGAAAGGTGTTGGCCTCGAGGGTATCCTCCTCACCCGTGGGCCCCCAGGCAATGAACTCTGTCTCGGTGGTGGGCCTGCTGCCTCGGAAATCAAAGCCACCGAAGCCACCACCCTGGAGGTGTCGCCTCCCTCTCCTCAGGAGGCTCTGGGGGTCCGTGGCCCCGCCACTTGCCGTGGGTGGCGAGGACGTGGCCGAGGAGGCCAGGGAAGGGCTGGAGCTGGCAGTGGCCGGGGGCTTGGCCAGGCCCCCTCTGGACACGAGGGGGGCCCCCTGGTCTCTGGGTCTGTGCGCCCTTTTGGCACGTGGGGTCTGTAGCTGCCCGTGGGTCCGCTCGACGCGGGGTGGCCGGGGGCTCCACAGGGGCGCGGGCACCCGCGCAGGTTGTCCACTCTTAAAACTCCACAGACGGGGCGGCCGGGGCGGTGGGCGCAGCAGGAGCCGGAACTCAGGGCCCGGGCCCAGGGACTCACACATGGGGAGCTCGATGGCCAGCTGAAACATGGCTATCAGTATCCAAGCATGGCTTCCAGCAGAGCGGCCCGGCCAGCGGATGGACATGGAACTGCGTGGAGAGAGACAGAGGGTCAGTGTGGGCCCCTGCAGCGGGCGGTCCGCCACAGGGCCATCTTTCTCCAGCAAGGCTAAGACAAAGAAACTCTTTTCCTATAATGAAAGCTAATCCAAACTTCAAAAGGGAAAGCCAAACCCCTCATTACTTGACTTCAAAGGCCCACTCAAGGCAGCCCACTAATCAGCATCTAAAAAGAAGCTATCCATTTATAAAGAACTGTTGTCTGTAGTCACTCCAGGCCTATGCTTCTCTTTTCCTTCCAACTCGCTTCCAGGGTACAGAGATGGGCCCTCAGTGGATAGTCCATTTCTTGGGAAGGAAAACGAAGTCCTGCAAATTCCCTTGCCATGGAATTGATGCCAACTGACAACGACAGCGACCCCATGTGTGTCAGAGTAGAACTGGGCTCCACAGGGTTTCCAATGGCTGATTCTTCAGCTGCAGACTGCCAGGCCTTTCTTCCGAGACACCTCTGAGTGGATTCAAACTTCCAACCTTTCAGTTAATTGCGTGCTTAACATTGTCTACCACCCAGGAACTCCTACTAGCCCTAACAAAGTAAATTTACCTATCTTCCAGGCCTACCCAGCCCTCCTACTACCTATAATGACACTGAAGTTCTAGATGGAAAATGGTAAGTGATTCGCAGAACTGTGGACACAGTCTCTGTTTTCCATCTCTTGACCAGGATCATCTCTCTTCACGCTAACAGTTCCCTACATTGAGACAGTGAAATACAAAATAACTAGATGCTGCCGAGACACTCGTGCCTACTAGAACATCAGAGTAGAACTTGTTTCACACAGTATTCTTAGCTGTGGTTTTGTGACAGTTCAGGCCTTTCTTTCAAGGTGCTTCTGAGTGACAATACCCCTCAAAGCTCTCCACTCAATCTTTCACCTGTGTTTTCCCTGCACCACAAGGACTCCTCGCTGATCTTTGCCCTGCACCACCAGAGACTCCAAGGCAGTTGCACCAGACACTTATATTTTTTTTTCCCCTGGGGAAGAGAGGTTGGAAGGGATAGGGGGGTCTCCACTCTCCACCAGTGTAAGTAAACCTATAGAATGATACAGCAGTATTCACGTGTCCACTAAGCACTGACCCCTCCTCTCTTATGCCAGTCGAACCCGCATGTTTGAAAGGAGCCAGGTGGCACTGAACACTATACAAGGGGAAAGCTCCTTTGCCTTGGTCCCTTCCAGGTTTTATTCTGGGAGATGAGATTTCTTCCGGATTACCTGAACACTTATTGACGCACCGAGCCTGGTCAAGTGTTTGTTCTGCTGACATTTCTGCTTTCCTATTTATCTCCGGAGACGGTGCCCTCTGAAGCCCTGTCATCTACCTCCTCAGTCTAAGGGGGGCTGCAGAAAGGGCAAGCCCAACCCGGCTGGTGAGGCAGTGCCGTCCCCCTCCCCTGGCTAACCGAGCTTCAGGGGAGACCAGCAGCCAGCACAGCAGTGTCCTGGGCTCCCCTGGACCTTGTCTCCCGGTGGGTGCAGCTCGGCCACTAGCCTGACATGAGGGTCCAGACCAGCGGAAACCAAGAGAGGAACACAGAAGCCTGGGGAACGGAACAGCAGCGAGCCAGCAGAGGGGTGTGGAAGCTGCAGGCCCACGCGCCTCTCCCACCCGCATAGATAATTGAGCACTGATCCCATGTGTCACTCAAAGTCAGTTCTTGTCACCGACCTCCTGTCTGAAAGTTAGAGGGAATCCAGAAACTTTCCTGACAGCTGTGGGGGTGGGGGTGGGAGAGCAGGCGGGGGTGTTCAGATGCGCTGAGTAGGGGCCTCCCCTGGCGCCTCTGAGGAGTCACTAAAAACCACTTCGTCACTCCCTCAAAACCACTCCCTCACTCCCTCATTGGTGTCCAGGAGGGGCTGACTCACAGCTGACCCACCTGTGGGTTTCCAAGGTTGTAAATCACTTGACAGGACGTTGCCCACCCTCTCAGTGCAGAGCTGCTGGTGGATTCGAGCCTCCGGAGAGGGGCTGCCTCAGGATTAGCAGCCCAGCTCCGTATAGAGGACGCCACCAGGGCTTGTCATTCAAAGCCAGGCCCCTGAAAGCAATGGACTTGTGGTTTCTCTTCCTGCAGCTATGTTACTAAAACATGAGTAAATCTCTCTGTGTGGGTGGATATAAAAGTGAGCAAGTGAGTGTGCGAGTGTGGGGGCCTGAATGCCAACATGCTGAGTATGTGTGAGTGTGTACCTGTGTATGAACTTATGCCACTATGTGTTTGAATGTGTGTTAGTTTCTGTGCCTGCGAGTGCACACCGATGTTTTTCAGTGACTCTGAGTGCAAACACGGTGTACGAATGCTTGTGTTAGTGTACATGTCCATGTGTGCCAATTTTTATCAGTGTGTGCATGAATGTGTGTGTATATGTATGTTCATGTGCATCTGTGTATGGGTCGATGCATGTGTGTGTGTGTGTGTGTGTGTGTGTATGTACATGTTAATGTTTCTCAGTGTCTTTGAGTGTGAGCACAAATGTGTCTGTGAATTAATGCAGTATGTGTTTATGTTTGTGTTTGTGTATGTGTGTTTGATCATGTGCGTCTGTGTGTGAGTCGAGTCAATGCTCCTGTGTACATGTGACTGTCCTTCCATTTTAAGTTGCCACGAATGACAGTATTACCGTCAAAAATGTGTTTCTAAGCATGGTCGTCAATTAAAAGTGTGCGGCAACATGTTAACACCAGTCTGGTCACGGCTGACGTCCTGTCTCTGACATTTGCGACTGTGCTGGGCCCTGTGTGTCCGCAGGACATTAAGAGGAGGCAGGAAATTGTATTAGCTATTAGCAAGCATTTAATTACCAGAAAGACCTGGCTCCCAAATTCCCACCCAGGCCCCCTTTTCAATCAGGAAGATAGCACGTCTTTGTAGAAACCAGGGCGCCCGCCTCATTCTGCTTACTGCTTCTGTTCTGCTGGTGCGTGCTTTCTCTGCAACGGTGGCCAAGCTGAGCACAGAGAGAGGCCCAGGCGAAGCACAGCAGAATTTAGGTCAATGTGAAGTCCCCATGCGCAGGCCAGCAGGACACAGGGCAGTGCCCACTGGCTGGAGGCTGACCTAGTCAGATCACAGGCACATCGAGAGCTGGCACTTCCCTAGGACAGCCTGGAGAAGCACTACCCTGCAAATCTAGCCATGGGTTTGGTCTGCCAGAGTGACCAGGCACTGGCCTGTCAGGTGGAGAGGTACAGCTCAGAGGGCACCTGTGTGCACCAGCAGGCCCCTCTGCAGCCATCAGCGGGCACCAAGAATGGGCAGGAGGAAGAGCAGTGCGCGCAAACTGCCTGCCATCGGTCCTTCAGAAACACCGCCCCAGGAAATGATGGGAGCCGCACACCTCCGCCTGTGCCCGCCTGCCTGCCCAGCATAACTTCACACGCAGGGGATCGCTGCGATTTTTCACCAATCATGAGCTGTAATTGGTTGCCATGGAAACCCCTTCATCTCCAAGTCATCCAGCTGTTATGCAGAAAACCGACCGATGGCAACTGTGGGGAGAGTTTGATTTGTTTTTCCTTTCCCAGCCCAAGGTCTTCCTGCATAACGTGATGGATGTACTCAGAGAGGAAAAGTCAAGTGAGTGGGCAGGTGGGACAGGACAGGCAGAGGTCCACCCTCTTCCCGCAGCCAGGACATTTTGGGTCAGTTGGGGCCAAAGAAATTATGTGTAGATCCCGCTGTGGGACCCCTTGCATGATGAGTCCAAGACCCCAGGCCCTTTGTTCCACCATCAGGTGAGAGGCTTGCATTTCAGTGTAAGGATGAACCAGCCCGTCTACAAAGGTCCCGCTTTTTGGCACTAGCACCCTTTTCTTCATTTACTGTACCTCTGAAATCAGGCAGGGTGCCTGGTGTTTTTCTCTTTGAAGGTTCAGCCTCAGAGCGGGCACCACCAGTGTTTCTAATATTTACATGGTTTCACGGTCCTGAGAGAGCCATTCACAGGCTCTTCATCCTAGAGAGGCATCTACAGCAAACAAGCCATTTTCCAGGATGGCAATATCCTACCATCCACAGAAGGCAGGTCCTCAGTGTCCAACTGGTCCACTAACATCGGGACCAATGGGAACCAGACCAACAAGGAGGCCAGGTCCACAGAGCAGACAGGGCCAGCACAGGCTCCCCATTAGTGCGGGACATCTGTAAGCCCTTGAACCACATACCATTCACGCTTCATTCTCAGGACAGCTAATCAAAAAAAGACAACATCAAGGGTTGGAGAGGGTGTGAAGAAACCACAACTCTCATGCAGAATGCAAAACAGTATCACTGCTGTGGAAAACAGTGTGGCTATTCCTGCAGAAGTTAAACTTAGATACCATTTGACCCAACTAGAATTGTGCTGTTAAGTATATGTCTACAAAAAAGCTTAAACGAGAATGATCCTAACAGCATTATTCACAACAGCCAAAGAAGAAGCAATCCTTAGACCCAGCTATTCCACTGCTTAGAATACACCCTGAGAGAATGAGAACTGAGGCACAAATGGAGATTTGTACACCAACGTTTATAGCAGCATTATTCACCATCGCAAGAACATGGAAACAGCCCAGATGTCCAACCACAATGGAATGGATTAAGAAATCATGGTACATTCACATGATGGAATACTACGCAGCACACAGGAGCAATGATTTTGTAAATTACTGCCTAACTTGGGAGGGATTGGAGAGCATTATTCTGAGTGAACTAACTCAGTCCCACAAGGACAAATACTGAATAAATATTGTATAAAACCATGAGTGTAGAATGAGTATGGAGATCCAAGGTGGGGAGGAGGGTGGAAATAGAGGGGTGAGGATGTGTGGGGGATGGGGGAATGCAGTGGCTTAATCAAGGGGGTTGTACAATTTGATGGGTGGGGAGTGAGGGAAATGGGAAGGATCATGTGTGAAAACCAGTGTCTTCGAATTTTGTAAATAAACTAGTATAATAAAAAAGGAAGTAATCTAAATTTATA